CAGAATGTCTGCTCCCCCAAACAGTCCAGCAAGTGACAGTTCTGTCGAGGCAGAAATATGGGTCTGCTACGAGTGTCAGCTATCAGCTATTGACCCCTCAAAACTCTGAAACAGAACTAGTTTGTAGTGATAACACTGTTTTGACTGACGCAGATCTGGAACACTCTGGCTATACTGTGCATCATGCCACAGACAGTTCCATTTATTCTGTGTTGAAATCTGTCAGATAGTACAACCGTCCATGACAAATTCTGATGGTGGTTTTACTGAATTGTTCGCACTGTGGTTTGGTATAAGTAACTGAGCAATATGGCCGAGGAACAGTTGTTAGATTTTGGCAAAGAGCATTGCCGATGTACCAAGCACTGGATGTTATTTCTGAATACCTTTTTTGTACTGATGATAATAATGCAAGCAATAATGAGTGTACTTCGAAGACTTTGCTGGAAACATGCATAGATTCTAGCCTCTGTACACCACAGAATACGAGAGGATACTGTTAATGTGTCTAATTAGATGTTGACCGCGATGTTGTTGAAAAGTGACTCTTACTCTGTCTATACCCTTATCCCATTCTGATTGTGAACTGGAGGTGCAATCCTTTATTGAAAGTGCGGTGTTGTGCATGGAATTGCAAACAGTTTCCACTTGATATGATTCAGGAGTCAAGACTGGATTGTTTAATTTGATTTTTATTGTGCAGTTGTTAATCAACAGATCCTCGGGGCAGAAAACCGCCGGATGAACCAGCATAACTGCGAAGGTCATTAAACTCCTGTGAAAGGAGACCAGAACAACGTACATGTTCAGAGGTGTCACAGTTTGGTCGAGAATTTTTCATGTTTGTTTATTGGGTCGGGTATAAAAGCGTCTTAAAAACGTCAAAGAGCATATGTTGGTTTTCTGGAATAAATGCCAAGAAACATGGCAGGGCAGATAAAACCAATCAATCAACATGTCTCACATTAGAACAGCGAAAAAGGCTGTACAGTTCATCGAAAACTATGGTGAGCAGAGATGCCTTGTAGTGATGCCTGCAATCGCATTTCGGGAAGGAAAAACACTGACTTAAAACTTTTGCCTTCTCACATGACCAAAAAGCTTACGGAAAATACGAAGGTGCGTGTCATTTACTGACGAGGAACCCGTGTCAGTTCACACATGGTATGTAACATGGAAACGTTCTACACATTGTTATCCAAGACCAAGAACAGATCTGTGTGCTGTTTGTCAGCAGAACAGTATGACCATGTCGAAACTCACCAAGACTTTCTGCGACAATAAAAACGAGAACTTGCCAAAGAGTTGTAGAACATATTGACCAAGTGACGTCTGAACGTGGATTCTACATTTCGATAATTGACGAATGTCGTCAAGACGTTGAACTGTTGACACCCGAACTGACCCTTTCGCCCCATCAGCTACTGACATACAAAGGTAAAATGCATCAGAGTTTTGATTTTGCTCCAGCAAGTGTTTTGCCACAGGATTCTCAACAAGTTGGACCTTTATACTTTCTATGTGGCTACAAGGTTGGACTCTTTGGAATTGCCGTAGAACCACTCAGGAAATTTGTCCTTTACATTATACCTGGAAGCAGCTCATTGTGGGAAAGGATCAAATGTGGTTATCTCACTTCTTCACCACTTCTACACAAACTTTAGTGTAGGAGAAACCGACTCGCTGTGTCATGCTGACAATTGCTGTGGTCAGAACAAGAACAATTTCATGATGCAATACTGTCTTTGGCGTACAGCTACAGGTCAGAACCAGTCATTTCCAGATCGGCTTTATGCCTGTTGGACACACCAAGTTTTGGCCAGATCTGTTGTTTTGATTGTTTAAGAAGCGATGGCGACGTGAACAGGCTTCATCAGTGGCAGATGTACAGAGAATACCAAGAGAGTGTTGCCCAGGGAACGTCTTTCCCTGTTGCTGTCGGGGATGAAGCTGGCCACACACTTTTCGTGCCGATCTATGAGCTGGCAGTCTAAGTTCAAGGCACATGGATTCCACAAAATATTTGACCGTACCTGTCAGAGGATGTTCCTGGACTCAAAGAACCGTGTGATCATATGTACCACCTGAATCAACTGACCACTGTCTCTCCCAAAGTCTTTGTAACCTCAAACACCAGAATGCATGTAATCAAAGACAATCAAATTAATATAACTGGACCTGTTTTGCATTCTAGGTCGTTTGACGTCATAGAAGAAAATAACCATTTCATGTTTTACGGTGTTTTAACGGTTTCATGACTCGTTATCTACCAGGTGTATTCGAGTCTGGACCGCAGACAATAAATAAAATATTCATGCAATAATCATAAAACTTAAGCTACTGAAAAATTCCTAACCCGGATCGTCATGGGTAAATTCAGTGGGAAGGCTTGACCACCTGCTTCGACCATTACGCATGCGCGCGCGTTTGATCAAAAATTTGTAACAGATGAAAATAAAATTATAACTTTGTTTTTTTAGGCTTTATCAACCCTTATCAGATGAAAATAAAATTCGTTTTTATCAACCTTATCTGTTAACAACACACATTTTTGACATTTATTGCGAGTCATTTTAATGTTGAGCGTATAACGCTATGCACAAGCACATTAACCCAATTCATATACACTTATGTCGTTCAGATATCAGGCTGTATTTCCTTCGCTCACACTTTCCGTAAAGATGGCCCATTAAAAAATTCGTAGCACAGTGCTTTTATCGGTGCGCGATAAAAAGCGGAGAAATTTACTGTTTTTTAACGCATAACAAAAATTTGGACAACATTTAGCAAGGTCTATTTCTCAAACCGCCAAGGTAGTTGCACTTATATTTATACCAACGGATAGGAAATTTAATATTCTACATTTCTGTGTAATTTTATAGCCTTACGTAGATCCAGGACCACGCGAGAGCAATTCTCGCACAACGTTCACTTTTCAAACTGTATGAAAATGTGCGCCTGAAAAAAAACTCGGCAGCCAGGGGGTTAAGAAAGGGTCGAGAAAATAACTTATCTTTAAAATGTCAGTTACATCTTTTCGATGTTATGGTAGTACCAGTTCTATTGTATGGCTGTGAAATATGGGGTCTTGAAAACCTTAATATGATAGAAAATGTACACTTACTCTTTCTTAGAAAACTTTTACCTTTAAAGAAATCCACTCCATCATACATGATATATGGTGAGTTGAGACGAAAACCGCTGTACATATCGGTATATACACGAATGGTTAAGTTTTGGGCATGAACGTCTTCTGACTGGTAAAGAAAACAAATTATCTGTTGCGTTTTTTCAACTCATGTATGCTGATCATTACTTGAGAATTCATCCACATAAATTGATAAAATGTCTGGATTCTATTTTCACAGAGACAGGTTGTTTGTACATATGGTATAACCAGGACCATGTTTCATTGTCATTTCTTACAAACATTATCAGAGCAAGGCTAGAGGTTCAGTATATACAGACTTGGTTCTCAGATATGTTTAATTCCCCAAAGACCAAAACTTACCGGATCTTTAAGACACAGTTTGGATTTGAAAATTATTTAAGCAATTTACCACAACACAGCTGGATTAAACTGCTGCTTTGTCGTACATCTAATCACCGTCTACCAGTTGAGGTCGGCCGTTGGAAATGTGTACCTCTACACGAGCGTATATGTACTCTCTGTTATACCGCTATCGGTGATGAATACCATGCAATTTTAGAATGTCCCTTTTTTGTTGATTCGAGAACCAATTTATTAAACCTTACTTTTACAAAAGTCCAAACTCTGTTAAATTCTGTCAATTGTTCCAAAATGAAAAAGTTGACGAACTACGAAAACTTTGTACTTTTTGTAACACTGTCATGTCCGGGTACAAGTCACTGGGAAAATGATTTTTTTCTGTAAAATTTATGTGAAAATCTAGATGTAAGTCCTCTGTGTATAAGGAAGTACATGTACTATGTACTACTATTTATTATGTGTAGCTTATATGCCTCATACTCAGACTACCAGTCCTGTCACCAAAATGTATACATTTGTATAATCACTGTGATCTTCATATACAGTGAGACCTCGGATACCCGGATCCCAGATATCCGGAAACCTCGCCTTCCGGTCAATTTTTAGACAAAACCATTCTCTTACGTTATAAACGTGACTGTCTATAACGGATATTCGGTTTCCGTTTCCGGACGGTACATTTTACAAACAAACCGGCTAAATCAACACAAAATTGACTCACCTATCCGCACGAAGCTTTGATCTACCGCTAACCGTGTGAAGGGAAGTGCGAGAGTCCCACGTGTTTTGACACGAGACGTGGTGTCATATATATTATTGTGTCTACTCACGTACCGTTGTCTCACGGCCTGAAAAGCAATAAAGTTCTGTTCTGTGCGGTGTGTGATGTGCGGTGTGCGGTGTGTAAGGAATTAATGGTTAGGTTTGTGTTCTGTAGTGTATATGGGGTTATTCTACATAGCTGTGGTGTGTGGTGTGGAGGGGGTTAATGCTCAGGGCTGTGTTCTGTAGTGTATATGGGGTTAATGTACATAGCTGTGGTGTGTGTGGGAATCAAGTCACAAAGCACGTGGATTCCGTGCAGTTAACATTAAAGAACCTCTGCAGTGTCGTGTTTTGGTGCACCCGTAAAACGTTAACTTGTGTTTCTCTTTACACCCTTTTCACTACGTTATGAAATTCATATCTCCGGTCATGAGCAGCTTTAATGAAAATACTCGGGTGATGCGTTTCTAAAGTAGTTCAGTATATATATATAAAAAAGAAGGGGACATTTTGGGCTGATATTATTTAGGAACCACTTTGTATTATTGTAAATGGATATTTCAAGATATGGTGAGGGTTAAGTTCATAATGTACAGTGAAACGTGTCAATGATAGTTGTTCTGCTATTGTATTGAACACAATTCATAAAACGTTTTTAGCATGCCTGTGACGGCAGGTACCTCTACGTGCAACTGGCATGTTCGAAGTTGGAACAAGACAGGGCATTGAGATATTCTTTATTCCCTTGTTGAATGAAAATTACAATATGCAGTCATACTATAATATAATTTTAAGTTATATTATATGATTAACATGGATTATTGACATATAGTTAAGAATGTTCATATACATGTATATACATACAAGCGTCTTAGCAGGTATCGCCATTTCCTTATAATATGGCTTACGTTAATAATTCCTTTTGTCCACACATCTCTTTCTAGTTCTATAAATACATTCTTTTGGACATCGACCAAGTAAAATGCAAGAATAACATTATCACTCTCCCAGAACTTAACAAAAGTATTTACATCCAGAGTATCACATGTGGTATTGAAGAGTACATGTTGGTCATTCATATTGATCAAACAAACATAAACACGTGCTTACAATGTTATTGACAACAGTTTGACAATACAGTTCTCTGGAAACAATTTCAGCTGATCCATAGAATACAAATCGTGCAATATCAGTTAACTGGTACTTCTTCTCTGCCGCTAGCATCGAGAGATAGTGTTCATTACTGGATCTTATACTGACATATCTTGACAGAAGTCATGAAATAAGATGAACATAGAATAAATTGTCTCGATGAGATTAATAGCATCATTTACGGCCTTGGACCAGCATTTCTTAATAAGACAATTGTTGACATAGTTATACTGGCTAAGGTTATACTGATGTACAAGTTGCAGCATATCATATATCGGATCTTCTACTACATACGTTGTATGTAGAAGTATCTGTACACATAGATGACCCAGGCGAACTAGAAACATTACTTTATACTTTCGTTTAACGTTTCACAGTCAATAATAAGGAGAGTACAATCACAATATCGAAAGACAAATACCGTCGATCTGGTCAACCAAAGGCGATAACTGGCGAACACGACCGTTTCAGAACGAAACCATGGTCAAAGTGCCTTTCAAAATGGAGATGAGCTTCACAGATCTAGGGGTGTTGGAGTTGGTGGACACAAGCTACATAGATGGAACCTGGTTAAGGGTATTATTATGATGGAGATTTGATCATTTATATCAATATTTAATTATCTTAGCATACATATTTATTTTCTATGAATGCCTTTAAATTCGGTACAGACCTACCAAGATGCATACATTCTTTACAAAATTCCATGGGCAGTTTAGATAAGAGATGATTGGGTGCTGGTGCTCAAACGTTTACTTTTTTCCAAAGGACATCAAGATATTTCCAGTTTTGGAATCGATCAAGGTCGAGTTTCTTGCCTCCAATAGTTGGTTCGTATGCAGAATAACCCCAATTTGATAATAAAGCTACTAGGTGTTTACCATTGACATCGTTTTTCTTGAATACCCATTCCATTAGAATCGCAGGCACCTCTATCTCCTCGAAAAACTTTCCAGCACCTTTGAGAACAAAATATTCATAATTTTCTACGTCAATTTTTAGAACAGCTTTTTTAAATGGCAGGTAGGGTAATGTATTGTCAAGGGTTATCGTATACGTGTCGGTGGGTTCATGGCATGGTGACGGAGAAGAAGACCCAGACGATGCCACCACCTTTGTACCTCCCAAATTACCTTCTTCTGGGCGTTCAAAATTCACCAGGGAATGGTTTGCACCAAGAGGATTAAAAAAGATTGTCATCCTGTCCGTGAAACCCCCTTTCTGGATCGACTTACATAGCCTCAGGACATTCTCTACGAGAGGATCCACAGACACGACCTTCCTCCCGAACTTGGCCACAGACAAGGAGAAGGCGCCAACATGAGCCCCTACATCCATGAACCCAAGTTCAGGGTCTTTCTTTAATTCGGATAAGACAAGGTCGATGTTTTCAGATTCCCATGTTCCTTTCAGTTTAATGTCCTTAGACACCGAATGGTCAATCACAATGTCATGTATGTGAATTGGCGTCTTTCCGGACGCGGTCTTCAGAAGAACACAATCAGTGCGGACTGTCCAAGTACAAAACTCATGAAGTTGCTGCATCTGCCTTCCATTGAATCTGTATACTCTTGTCTTGCCAAGACTCGGACTGGACTGAGATAAGGTCGAGGTAAAGTAAGGCAAAACGATGCGGTCAAATGTGAACATGATCAAGGCACCGGTGGCTAGTGAATGGTATCGACGCAAGGATCTCATGGTGGGTGGTGACGTCACCTGAGGTTTCAAGGATAAATCTGAAACATGGACATAGACATCGTATCATCATATTGCCACACATGTATGCAGCCTCGCATCAATTTACAAATCATTGATTCTCCTAAATTCTGAATAATGCGCTCATGTTTGAGACGACATTTTATGCTAACATCTTTGTTCCTGATACTTAAATAGAAGCAACAAAACCCTTTCCGCATCCACAAGAAATCCCTGCTGAAAGCAGAGTCGATTGTACAATTGTGACTTTATCATGAGTAAATATTTCTTTCAACAGTATTACAGCTGTACGATGTTGTTTGTAAACAAATCGAGTCTGGACCAGACAATCCAGTGAGTGTCACCATGCGATACGATGACAGAGCCTACACTGTTTCACCATCTGTATGAAATGACTCCGAACATGAATCAACCGTGACCAAGGCCTCATACCTCCTGCAAACTATCAACCCATCAAAGATCCACATCAGGCATGATTCCTTTGTTTATAATGCAGGCTTCACTATTCCATTGTTTATACCACAGGCTTCACTATCCCTTTGTTAATACCACAGGCTTCACTATCCCTTGGTTTATACCACAGGCTTCACTATCCCATTGTTTATACCACAGGATTCACTATCCCATTGTTTATACCACAGGATTCACTATCCCTTTGTTTATACCACAGGCTTCACTATCTTTTTGTTTATACCACAGGCTTCACTATCTCTTTGTTTTTACCACAGGCTTCACTATCCCATTGTTTTTACCACAGGCTTCACTATCCCATTGTTTATACCACAGGCTTCACTATCCCATTGTTTATACCACAGGCTTCACTATCCCATTGTTTATACCACAGGCTTCATTATCCCATTGTTTATACCACAGGCTTCACGTGTTAACAACGCTTCTGTCTATAAGGCCGGGTGGGACAACTTGGGAATGGCCAGCGAGTCCTAACTTGACACATAGAAGGAAGCGAGCTACAAATGGGATCAAGAGCGTTCTCTGCTGCAGCCCCCTATCTCTGGAACATTCTACCACTCACCCTAAAAGAAATAGAATCTGCTGATGCTTTCAAAACTGCCCTCAAAACTCATCTGTTCAAACTCTCTTTTCCATAGACATTGTCTACAATCTTTTCTCTTCATAGCGCCATTGAGCAATATCTTTTGGAAATAGGCGCTCTATAAATCAATTATTATTATTATTATTATTAAGACTACAGCAACCAGTTCAACACATTGCTTAAGATACTAGAAGGCCGGGTGGGACAACTTAGGAATGGCCAGCGAGTCCTAACTTGACACACAGAAGGAAGCGAGCTACAAAGACATAATTTATATCATTGGAAAGATCTCGAGGAGATGAACTCAAAAAGTTCATGTGCCAGTGCTCGCACGTGTTCATAAGCTCACAAATGGGCTCTGAAAATACATTTCTGCAGAAATTACTGGCAGAATTAATTTTTTCCGCAGAAATTTCTGGCAGATTTTTTTTTTACCGCAGAAATTTCTGGCAGAATTTTTTTTTCCGCAGAAATTTCTGGCAGAATTTTTTATTTCACTACCAGAATTATCTTAATTGAAAAATATTAGACACCATTTTAGGATAATTCAATATGGACTTTATTTAAATGATGTTACTTTCTCCTGTAAACAACTTCAAGTTGGAGGGGATAATGGTTCCCAGAAGTAGATCGCCGCACAAATCTTACAAGGCATATTTTAACATCTTATCAAGACGAAATGAAAATAAAAATAATATGGTGATTTTTTTATACATCTTTTATTCACGTTCTGTATAACATGAGTTTCACTGGATGAAGTTACAGTCATTTCATGTTAGACATGAGCCCTGTTGCCAAATGTTTCAGAGATAGATCCTCTCGGAGAAATATGTGTCCTATATATATATATAAATATTTGTCAGGGTTGAGATTGCGATCTGATCGGAGATTCTACCAGTAGAGACTTCGCAGTCTTTACCAGTATCCTACTAGTAGAGATTGAAATCGGATCCTACCTGTCAGATCCGATTCTACCAGTACAATTTCCAATTCAACTGGTAGAAACCCTGATTGTTCTGTAGGCAAACAACACTTTATTTGCTGAACAATAATATTCATTTGTTATGCATGTTATTTTAATATGTGAAAAATGTAAAGAAATTCAAATAATTCCATATCAATGTATCTCACTTTAATACAAATTGCATTAATTGATAATGTCCTAATCATGACCATTTTGTTGATACAAACTATGGTTTCACATATGAAAAAATCATATGTAGGATCAGAATGGAGCTTCCACTGGTAGAGATTGCAATTGCATAGGTTATTCTATATAATAAGTTTCTACCAGTACAGACTCCGCTTGCAATCTCTACCCTGGCATATATATCATCTCTCTATATATACATTGTATATAGTTTAGGTGAATTAATTCATGTATTCAAATCATTGAACGCTTATTATTAGCATATATTCTGAACAACATGTGAAAAATGTAAAGAAATTCAAATAATTCCATATCAATGTATCTCACTTTAATACAAATTGCATTAATTGATAATGTCCTAATCATGACCATTTTGTTGATACAAACTATGGTTTCACATATAAAAAAAATCATATGTAGGATCAGAATGGAGCTTCCACTGGTAGAGATTGCAATTGCATAGGTTATTCCTACCAGTACAGACTCGCTTGCAATCTCTACCCTGGCATATATATCATCTCTCTATATATACATTGTATATAGTTTAGGTGAATTAATTCATGTATTCAAATCATTGAACGCTTATTATTAGCATATATTCTGAACAACATGTGAAAAATGTAAAGAAATTCAAATAATTCCATATCAATGTATCTCACTTTAATACAAATTGCATTAATTGATAATGTCCTAATCATGACCATTTTGTTGATACAAACTATGGTTTCACATATGAAAAAATCATATGTAGGATCAGAATGGAGCTTCCACTGGTAGAGATTGCAATTGCATAGGTTATTCTATATAATAAGTTTCTACCAGTACAGACTCCGCTTGCAATCTCTACCCTGGCATATATATCATCTCTCTATATATACATTGTATATAGTTTAGGTGAATTAATTCATGTATTCAAATCATTGAACGCTTATTATTAGCATATATTCTGAACAACATGAAAAACCCTCAGTCTTTTCCTATAAATATAAATGCATTCAATATGTTTGGACACATACTAGATACATAATAACAATATTTGATCATTTACATATTCCTAGAAATGCCTCCATCAACACGCTCAACATGACCAGCGTACCGAACTGAGATGATAAACAATACCTAAGCGACAATGTATCACTGTTCAAAGTGACAATACCCGAGAAAATCTAATTGTTTTCACACCTGATAATTTGTTGTTTATGGGGATGTCCCTACAAGCGGCCACCGTCCCGGTTCGGTTGTCCCTGGTGTCCACAGCAATTAACAATTGCGTAATCCAGAGAGCGGCCACTCAGGGGAAAACACCAAAACAATGTCGGGTGGTGCCGCATGGACAATACACGTCTTTTGGGTTCTATCCAGTAGGTTTTATCGGTTCAGTTAAACACCAGATGATGATATTTTGTTGATTGTAGGAAGACATTAACAGAGAACTTTGTAATGAAACATACATTTGGTCCGCACAATTAAATTTCACAAGATATAACTTTATAAATATTCTCTTTCATGTATTCAAAATACTTTTTTTCTAAACGATGCATAGTTTGATAGTTTATGCATGTATATTGTGGTATTACACAAATATGATATTAAGCAGCATGCGCAAACATATTTAAGTCATATGTCTGCACCCCCAAGTACTTACAATGTCGTATCGGAAATATTCATTGTCCTGCAGCAACAACAGGTGTGCACGGTCTGCCGATTTCAAATAACAATATCAACCGGCATACCATGCAGATTTTATGTGGTACAGGAAAAGGTAGGCAACGGCTCAGTGTCCAAGCAAACATATGTTGCTGGGTAATCTACGATAAGGGTAACTATAATTCATTGCAAATGACAAAACTCTATTAGAGAGGGGGTAATCATAATTATCAAAAGGAGCAGGTGCCCACTCTTTGCACAGATCAGACTTTACAGGGAATAAGTAAAACAACATGTAGGCGTGCATCAAAGGGATTAACAGCAACAACTATAGGATAGGGTAATAAAGCAGTGACAACAGGGGGAAGTCAAATGTGCAAGAGGTAGAAAATATACATGGCTGGAATGCTCTGCTAAGTTGTTGCTATCAGTTCATTGTATGCAGATGGGATGAGATATCCTTCATCTCTGTTGATGGAGGGCTTGTGTCCGCGGATTTGAACTGCTTAATCCATGTTGATGTATATATAAGTCTGCTACAGCACCTCAGTCTCGCTTGACAACGGTATAATAATCCAGACTGAAACGCCGCATCCTATATAATATAGACGTTGTCATCCATGAAGCGAAAATGTGTTGAAGGAATGATATGAATGTAAGTCACTAACGTGAGGCTCTAAAATCATATGGTGGTGTGCAAATCATATGCGTTTAATTCGTGATTGGTATATTTTCTCATGATATTATTGTATGAATAATCGTTTCCTTTCACACTCGTATTACAACACAAATCATAAAATAGATAAGATCTATATATTATGATCTCGGTAGCAACAGCATGGAGCGTGTTGTTCAGCCACAAAACAATGTGAAAATTCATCGAGGAGATACTTTGTCCTTAACCACCTCAGCATATATACTATACTTCACGGCAATGACGATTTATCTCCTTTAGACAATGAAAACCTTATAAAATCCGTTCAGAATTATATAACTGAAACTAACCGCTTTACGGAATTCAAGTAACAACCTATAAACATAAAATGCACTTAATAATATAATAATAATAATAACGAACTATATGCGGAGAAGCATTGACATAGGCCATATGGCCTGTTTGCTAATCCTATTTTCATTTTGTTATGTCGTGTATTATGAAAAATGTAAAC